GAAAAGGTCGACGATGAGCCCAGCCATGGCGATGTTCCTGGAACGGCTGCCTACGAAATGCGCCAGGCCGACGCTGTGCCGGATATGATCTTGAAAGCCCCAGAGGGGGGAAATGAAGGTGAGGCTCCGTTTTTCTCTTTTCAATTTCATCAGCGCCGGTTGACGGAGCAAGGATCGCCAACAACTTCTGATAGATCGGAACCTCTAGACGAAGTCGACCAGGCGCCAAAGCCTGAAGAGCAATCCGGAGAAACACACGAGGCGTCTCATAACGACGAGGCGGGCTACGAAGCAAGCTCCCACGACAACAATGACTTCGGCGATGATTTTGACGACTTCGAGGAAGGCGGTGAGGGCGATGACTTTGGGGATGATTTTGGTGATTTCGATGATGGCTTTCAAAACGCAGAGGGTCAAGATGGCGCTGCTTTTGACGAGCCTGCCCCTCCCCCTCCTGTACCCGAACCAGCACCTTCACTTGTAAGTAACAAGTGTCTATCCGTAAATGCAATGGTCAATGAGAACGTGGTTGGCTTGGTCAAAATGTTGTGAACAATGCTGACGTAAATGTTACCGCAGCCACAACTTAACCTCCAAGAACTTAATAACGACGATGAAATCCTCGCTTCTACCCAGCCATACATTGAGAAGTTGTTTCCTTCTCCCAATCTCGATCAGCCAGTGATCAACAGTGACATAAACCCATCGCCTCTCTCAGAAAGGAGCCTTTCCCTCTGGGCTCAACTAGTCGCGCCACCACCGCTACAGCCGCCAAACTGGGTCCGTTCTCGCATTAGACGTCTGTTCTTGGTGTCTCTTGGTGTACCCGTCGACCTCGACGAGATTTTGCCAGCGAGCAAGCAGAAGAAGCTGGTCCTCCCATCAATCAGCATCGCGGGAGAACGCTCCCCACGAGGTTCCTATGACGAAAGGGCGACTGGCGCAGTCTCCAAACTCAAGAAAGAGGACAATGACTCAACCACTTCGGTGGACTCGTCTCCTCCCAAGGTGGAAAGTAAGCGGCGCGGCCCGCCACCGCCGCCGGAGCTTGATATTAGCTCGACGACGATGCTCTGCTCGACTACGGATGCGGCGCTGAACAACTTCACCAACACCGAGCTGAAAGCCCATGTCAGGACACTTGAAGAACTGCGCAAACGAGCTGATGAAGTCCTGGGTTACTGGCTCAGGCGCATGGAGAGCGCCATAGGGGACAAAGAGGCCTTTGAGGCAGTCATTGCGAACCTTGTCGAGCACGCAAAGAAGGTTAGGAAATAAGTCCCCTGCACAAAGACGCCAGCCGGGGCCGCCCTGGACGTGGCGTCTGGTGTTCCGCGCACTAGGAAGATTGGTACCCACGGCAACGGCAAGGCGCTTGCGCGGTGCGATGGTCATCCCCATATCAAGTGCGACCCTTTATCTGCACCTGAAGCGTCCTACTTAGTTATTTCCTAAGGCCAAGGCATCTGCGCCTGCGCCGATCGACCACAGCCAATCCGATCGGGCTCTGAGGGTTGGCCGGATCGACGCGACGATCGAGCGACGGCACAGGCTGGTAAAGTTTTAGGAGCCGACCTTGGAAGGGATTATTTGCGGTAGTATCAGCGCGGGCGACGTCTAGCGCGGGCGGGAAATCGGGCTCAACGGAAAGCCTACCAGTACCAACGAGGCACATGTGCAGCTGGGATGCAGGGAGCCCGTTCGGGCTGGTCACGCGGGGTGCACGTGCGCGTGGCACATCAACATTATTGCATTCCCTGAAGCCACGAGGACGTGGGCGCAAGACGATGGCACATCCTTCCGGCAGCCCGGGGCTCGCGGTGGGAAATTAGCACACAATTTCGGCGGGTTGGGCGTTGCGCCACGGATGAGGCTAACGCTGCGGGCGGTGCAGGACGGCGAACCCCACAGAGTTGGGTGGACAGGGAAGAATCCTCGGCAGGCGGATGGGGGCTGAGCGCTGGATGGCATAGGCCGATTCGGGCCGAGGTGGGATGGATCATCATTCGCGGTGGTGGAGGACAGCGAGATTTGTGGGCTGCGGCGGATCGGCTGGGTGTTCTTTGTCGCATCGCCATAAGAACAATGTTTGACATTAATGAGAGATGCAGTTGGACCCTGGAGGGGTGCCTGAGTGGGTGAAGGGTGGAATGTGGAAGGACTATGCGGCCTTTAGGCGCGGATCTGCGAGCTTAAACAGCAGCGCGCCGGCGGTGGGGACGCTACAGGTGGCCGGTGTGGTGCTGACCAGCGCACGCTTTCCGCCGCTTCGTATCGCTGACACTGGCGGGCTCGGAGCTCGTCGGGCGTGGCAGCAAGCGATGCCGTGCAAGCCGGGCGCTGTGTTGTGCGGTGGCGAGTGAAACATCTCAGGCCGACTGTCTGTCTTTTGGCCCATTCCGCCACGCTCTTGACGGCGCCTCGCGACTTTTTCGTGACATCAGCGGAGCGGGCTTGGCGGGCAATGGCGGCGCTATCCTTTGTCGGGCGAAGCCTGCCGGCCCCCTTGTCCCTGGCCTCGCCAATTCGCGCGTAGTAGATACAACGGCCGGCGAAGCAATTGCGACTGCTCCGTCTCCCCCGCTCCCTTTTCCCTCCCTCGCCGAGAAAAAAAAAAGAGAGAAAAGCAAAAAAAAGTAACTCCCTTCCAGCGGAGCCAGGCTGCTTTGCTGCTGCTGTTGTTTTCCCTCCCCATCCCGACCTCCACCCCGGTTGCTCTGCCCGCGCCCGCTTTGCCACCCCCCATTCAAGCCCCCCCGCCGTCGTACGAGCAGCCTCGCGCCGACAAGTTCCTCGGCCCTCCGACCCTCCCTTTCTAGCGACAGCCCGGCTCCAATGAACTGTGGGAGAACGACGCAGTAATCGTGCACAACGATGTCTCACGACGAGACTGCCCAGGCGCTCGCCGGCATCCTCTCGAATCTTGCCAAACAGCATGATCCGCTCGTCGACAAGTCTTTCCCGGGCCAGGTGGCTGCCAACGGCGGCAAAGCCGTCAACGTCGTCCTGCCCGGCCCCGACTGCGAATCCAAGCGGGCCGTAGAACGCGAAATCGGCGCTCTCGCGGCGCGCATCCAATACCTCGAGGCAAAGGCCAAGACCATCGACAACAACACCTTCCCCATCACGCCCGGCGAACCCACCCTCTACTCGCCCTTCCCCGGCGACGCCCAGCAACACCAGACCCCCCGCAGCGCGTCGCTCGCCGGCCGGGACAGGCAGGCCTCTTGGGTCACCAACTGGCTGGCTGCCAAGGAGAGCTCGCCCGGCGAGCAGCGGCCCGTCGCACAGCTCTCCGAGGACCAGCTCAGCTATCTACGGGACCACTTGAACAAGCAGGCCGAGCAGATTCAGAGTCAGCGCGAACACATCGATAGCCTTAGCGCCGAGGTTACCCGGCAGCTCCGGGACCAGGACAAGGCGTTTGGCCATGGCATCGAAGACATCGGTGCGCTGAAGCGAGAGCTTCAGAAGCATCAACAGGCAAATCTGGCCTTCCAGAAGGCCTTGAGAGAAATCGGTAGCATCGTTACGGCTGTGGCGCATGGTGACCTTAGCAAGAAGGTTCTCATCCACGCCAAGGAAATGGACCCGGAAATCACGACTTTCAAGCGCACCATCAACACCATGGTGGATCAGCTTCAGGATTTTGCCAGTCAGGTTACGAACCTTGCTAAGGAAGTCGGCACCGAAGGTCGCCTGGGTGGCCAGGCCGTCCTGACCGGTGTCGATGGTATTTGGGCCGAGCTGACGCACAGCGGTAAGTTCTGCATCGCCATCGACTCCATACGATTTGCTAATGGGCTGCAGTCAACGACATGGCCAGGAATCTCACGGAACAAGTGCGAGAGATCGCCGTTGTCACAACTGCGGTCGCTCACGGTGATCTCAGTCGGAAGATTGAACGTCCCGCCCGCGGTGAAATCTTACAGCTCCAGGAAACCATCAACACCATGGTGGACCAACTACGTTCGTTTGCATCAGAAGTTACAAGGGTCGCTCGCGATGTCGGTGTCGAAGGTATATTGGGTGGTCAGGCGAAGATCGAGGGCGTCCAGGGCATGTGGAACGACCTCACAATCAACGTGAACGCCATGGCTTTGAACCTCACGACTCAAGTGCGAGATATTGCGCAGGTCACGACGGCTGTCGCTCAGGGTAATCTGACCCGCAAGGTTTCTGCGGAGTGCAAGGGCGAGATCGCGGAGCTCAAGAACACCATCAACTCCATGGTTGACCAATTGCAGCAATTCGCGCACGAAGTCACGAAAATCGCCCGCGAAGTCGGTACCGAAGGTCGCCTCGGTGGGCAGGCCAGAGTGCACGGAGTCGAGGGCACGTGGAAGGACCTCACGGAGAACGTCAACGGTATGGCCGACAACCTCACCACCCAGGTGCGAGAGATTGCCGAGGTCACAACTGCTGTCGCTAGGGGTGACCTCAGCAAAAAGGTCACGGCAGAAGCGAGGGGCGAAATTTTCGCCCTGAAAATCACCATCAACACCATGGTTGACAGACTTAACGATTTCGCCTACCAAGTCAGCAAGGTCGCCAGGGAAGTCGGTACCGACGGTAAACTTGGTGGCCAGGCCGAGGTGGAGAACGTCGAAGGAAAATGGAAAGATCTAACCGACAACGTCAACACCATGGCCCAGAACCTTACTCTGCAGGTGCGCAGTATATCGGACGTTACCAGCGCTCTGTCGCGCGGCGACCTGACGCGCCGCGTGCACGTCGATGCCGAAGGAGAAATCCGTCTGCTGAAGGACACGATAAACGACATGGTTGCAAGACTGGACGAATGGTCTCTTGCAGTGAAGCGCGTAGCTCGCGATGTCGGCGTGGACGGCAAGATGGGTGGCCAGGCAGAGGTTGAAGGCATCACCGGGCGTTGGAAGGAGATCACCACCGACGTCAATACTATGGCTCAAAACTTGACGTCTCAAGTGAGAGCGTTTGGGGACATCACACAAGCTGCTACCGACGGCAAGTTTACCCAGATCACGGTCGAAGCTGCCGGTGAGATGGACGAGCTCAAGCGCAAGATCAACAAAATGGTTTCCAGTCTGAGAGAATCCATCCAGAGGAATACTGCCGCGAGGGAAGCCGCCGAACTTGCCAACAAGACCAAGTCCGAGTTCCTGGCAAACATGTCTCACGAGATACGGACCCCAATGAACGGTATCATTGGTATGACGCAGCTGACGCTTGACACGGACCTCACGCACTCGCAGCGTGAGATGCTTACGATTGTTCATAACCTGGCGGGTCAGCTTCTCACCATTATCGACGACATTCTGGATATCTCCAAGATCGAAGCGAACCGCATGGTCATGGAGGAGATTCCCTTCAGTCTTCGTGGTACCATTTTCAACGCCCTTAAGTCTCTTTCTTCCAGAGCCAACGAGCGGAGACTCAACCTGGCCTACCAGGTCGACAGCAGCGTGCCTGACTATGTCATTGGCGATTCTTTCAGGCTCAGACAGATCATTCTGAACCTGGTCGGTAATGCCATCAAATTCACCGAGCACGGAGAAGTCAAGGTCGCAATTTCCATGGCGCCTCAAATCGGCTGCGCTCTTGATCAGTACATCTTCAAGTTTGCGGTGTCTGATACGGGTATTGGTATTCACGGCGACAAGCTGAACCTGATTTTCGATACGTTCCAACAGGCCGATGGATCTACTACTAGGAAGTTTGGTGGTACCGGTCTTGGTCTTTCAATCTCCAAGCGTCTTGTCACCCTGATGGGAGGTAAGATGTGGGTCGAGTCTGAGTACGGCCATGGCAGTGTGTTCTACTTTACTTGCAAAGTCCGGCTCGGCAACCCCGATATTCTCGCCATCCAGCCTCAGCTCGCGCCATACAAGGACCACACCGTTCTCTTCATCGATCAAGGCAAGACTGGGTATGGTGACGAAATCGTCAACCACCTGCGGTCCCTCGAACTCGTGCCGAACGTCATCCACACTGACGAGAACACGCCTCTTTCGGAGATCCCCAGCCCTGGCAAGCATGCTTACGACTGCGTCATTGTAGACTGCAATATGACTGCGCGGAGGTTGCGTGGTGAAGAGCGGTTCAAGTACATTCCTCTCGTCATGGTCACTCCCCGGGTGGCTATCAGCTTGAAGTCTGCGCTGGAAGACGGTATTTCTAGCTTCATCACGACGCCTTGCTTGCCGATCGATCTGGGTAATGCCCTGATTCCAGCTCTTGATGGACGTGCCGCACCTTTGATCTCCAACCAGTCGAAGTCGTTCAACATTCTCCTTGCTGAAGATAACGCGGTCAACCAGCGTCTGGCGGTCAAGATTCTGCAGAAGTACCACCACAACGTTACGGTCGCGAACAACGGTCTTGAGGCCTTCGAGGCCATCAAGAAGATGAAGTACGACGTTGTTCTGATGGATGTGCAAATGCCTGTCATGGGTGGTTTCGAGGCAACTGCGAAGATCAGAGAATACGAGCGCGATCATCATCTGTCGCCAACTCCTGTCATCGCGCTCACCGCGCATGCCATGGTTGGCGATAGGGAGAAGTGTCTCCAAGCGCAGATGGACGTAAGTGCACTATCAATGTCTCGATTAACTGTATCCGTGCTAACATCGGTAAAGGATTACCTGTCCAAGCCTCTTAAGCAGAACCAGCTCATTCAAACCATCCTTCGCTGCGCAACTCTTGGGGGAGCTCTCCTCGAACAGGACAGGCAACGCATGGCGCTCGCGCAAGCCGAACAGGGGCAGAAGGAGAAGAACGAATACGAGACGCCACAAGACACTCCGCAGGGGACTCCCAAACGCGGCGGCACACCGCGACGTCCTCAAATGGAAGTTAGGGGTTACACCGAGGTCGCTGCGGCAGGCAAGGCCAGCCCGAAGCTTTTGGCTGCGGACCAGTCTGACCCCGTGGACCGAGTGAGTCCCATCCAAGTTCAAATGCGACAATGAGTGTCGAATTAATTTTTATGTGTCGCGTATAGCTTCTACTCCGCTCTCACAGTAGCTGATGACCTCCCCCTCACGATAAGTGGGTTCAAGTCTTCAGTTACGCTGACGTTTGTAACCAGGCGACATGACCCGATAAAGCTCCGCGTCAATCTTGCGGAATGCCGCATCGGCAACGACGGCGTCTGACGGTCGCGAAGGCCCGCAGCAGCATCCAGCTCTGCCTATGGCCCCGTCCGTCCTGTAATTTCAACCAGCTGTCGGTACGAACAACTTCAATCGCCGTTCTGTCATCGACGACTGGCAACCGTGTCTCTTGCTCTCATCTGGTCAAGTTCAGCACCGTTACTTCTCCATGTACCTACGATTTCGAGACCCTTCGGCTCTCCGTGTGCACTTTCGACTGCGGCTTCAAACACATCAGCCCGTCTGACGAAGACGACAAACGAGGAAGATCTTTTTACTGTTCAGGCGTTTTGCTTAGGCGTGGTAAATCTTGGCAATTACCTCTGCCATTGCGGGGAACTCGGAAGTTCTAGGTTATCGTCCTCTTTCCTTCCTCTTTCGTCATTGTTGTTGTTACTCACTTGTGTGTTTTGGCGCGCGCTGTGTGTTGTTTTTTCGTCTTGCGTTGCACGTGGTTTCTGTTTATTTGCAAGTGTCGGGGGAGACAAGCTGTGGTGAGAAAAATCAAAGGGCGTGGGAAGACGACGCGTTGCGTCGTTTTGGGTTGCCAGCATTCCATTGCATGAAATGAGATACATGCTGTTCTCTTTCGCTTCCGTTGGTAAATCTTCTTTCTCGATTTTGCGGCTGTTTTTTCTCGTGTCGTTTACATGGCGAAATGCGTTATCCGTCTTTTTGTTTTTCGTTTTAAGGGTCAAGGGGAATTGAAACAACAAGGGGAACCCACTATACATTATTATTATTCGTCGTTGACTTTTTCTATTTCTTTTTCTTTTTCTTTTTTTGGAAACAGGTTTTTTTTTACGCGGTGTTTGTAGCGTGTGCGCTGCTCTGGGCAGAGTTTATACCATTGTGTTCTGCTGTGCTGATTATTTACTTGGAGCTTTAATGTTGCCGTCTTGACATACCGCTCGAGTCGTTCGTTCCTGTCATTCGCTACTGCCCATTCTTGCCACCGTCGTCAGCGTTGCTGTCTTGTTTACTTCTTTGAGCGTTCCAGAAATAGCGTTTTCAGCGTTCGATACCGCTAGAGTACAAGATCGCACTAGACATGGACAGCAATGCAGCTAAAGGAATCGGTTGAAAGAGCTGGGCGATGCCGTGCTCACAGTCCGTCTACTTGGCCGCAGGGACTTCTCGTCGGTGCGTCGTCACGGTGCAACCGTCCCTGAACTGACCAGAAGTCGTCCTCCCTCGCCGATCATGGCTGCGTATTTGGAAGGGTGTATCAGTACTTCAAAATTCCTCTCAATTCCGTCGCCAATACTGCCGATTTATGAGAAAGAGATATCATTTGGACAGGCATCGATAATGCCAGGAGGTTGCTGACATTGTTGACCAAGCATGCTCATTCCATACCCATGCGGATTACATATCCAGAGCATTCTCAACGCTTCTTTTTCTTTCAATATAAGACTAATCACTAAGATACTACCTAGCGTCGAAGTGAAATGTGAGTTGTCAGGTGTGTTCAACATATGCATTGTGGGGAACACCTCCAGCAGAAGAAAGCATACTCGGAAAGGTCCGTCGTGGTGGTGGTGATACAAAGTAGGAAGTACTTAATGCTTGAGTTATTGGTGTATCGAATAAGTGGGGTAGAATGATAGACACCTGACTGACGACTTGGTAGAAGAAGAAAAGTGCGTCGTGTGCTTCTGTCGTGGAACAGCTTCATGTGATACTCTTCATTCAAGTATCACAGACTGATACCAAGGGAGCACAATTAATCACGGTCAAGATGTCTTGATGAATATGCACAATTAACAGTACTGATCTTATCACATGGTAGTTGGGAACTATACAATTCATTATTCATGGTATCATGTCCCGCGTCTATCATCCCTAGCCTATTCACCAGCTGGTACCTAGACCTAGCCCCCTCACAAACCTGACATCGGCCGCCTGTCTTTCTAAAGCTTTCCGCATCGTTGCTCCATACTCCTTCTCCTTCTCTCTTTCCGCCTCCTCCTCCGCCGTTTCAGCTGCTTCCTCAAAGTCCTCCTGTTTGAATGCTGGCTTGTTGCCGAATCCCACCATACCAAGCCTGCCGTCTCCCGTCCAGATGAGCAGATTATCTTGATCGAGCGGCGTTGTTTCTCGTCCAGAAAAGGAACTGCGAGACAACGTCGGCATGATCTTCTGCACAATGTCACCCTCGCCATACGCTTGTGTAGATGTCGAGAATAGCCCCGTGTCATCAGTAGGCTCGGTCTGCGGTGCGTCAGGATTGATATTGAATTGGCGGACGGGTGTGAACCCATCACGTTCCATCCACTTGATATTGCCATCGCCATCGGAATAAACCAGCCTTGCTCCGTGAGTGGCTACGGAGAGGAGCTTCGAACTTGACGCCGTCTGTCGGTTCTGCATGCAAGCATTCTTATTCCTCCAGGCGGAACTACTATCGCTGGAGAGGATGGTGTGTTGTGGATCTGACGAGAGGCCAAAAAGTTCGAGGGAGCCTTTGCCCTTGTATTCGCCCGCCGCAACGATTGTGTGCCCCGTGACTGATTTGGCCTCCCGGAGACTGTAAGAATTGCTGGAAAAGATGCTATGATAGCCAAGGTTACGTGGGATAAAAGGATGCGGTAACAACATCATGCTTGATAGACGGGCGCCGGAGTGAACAGTTCCCCGCAAGCGGGGGAAGAAGCGTCGATCGTAGTTAAGAAGGCTGGTGAAGCGTCCGGCCACCCAAATGTCACCATTTCCGTCCCATTCGCGGTCAGGAAGGTGCAATATGGAGAGCGGACCGGGTTGAGACAAGATGGCATGCCCAGTAGTCATGTTGCCAGAGGTGAGGTTGTCGAAGCCATTCTTCAGCGGTTTGCCTCCTATGAGCTCACATCGGACAGAAAGCGTGGACTCGCTGTGCTGCCCAGGCTCACGCGAATCATGGAGATGGATAGTCATGTTTGTCCCCACGGTGAGCGGAGTAGGATGTCTGGCCTCCGAGAGCGTAGTGATTGAGAAAGGGTAGGACTTTGTTGAGATAATCTGCAACGTACTGAGATCGACCTCGTGCAAGTTTTGCATGACGGCAAAGAAGCCTTTTTTCTGTCTACTGTCGACGCTGACACACTCTACGGCGCCAGTCTCCGTCATGATCGCCTTGGACTGTGCAGCCCGCGCAGCTCTGTCTGAGACGGCGGTTCTCCCTGCGAGAAGACCAGGAATCGTTCGGTCAACGACAGCACCCTGCTGCGTCATGATTCCTCCTTTGTCCAGGGGGCTGACGTTCCACACGCATATGCTTCCATCGTCTATTGGCGCAAAAACTCTATCTGCTATGCGTGAGGCCTCATCGTATAGTATCCCGGCGCCAGTAGCTTCGTAATGTTCCCTTTCATCGCCAGAGCCGATGTAGGCTTGCTGAAGCCAACTGGTACTTATGGGCGCGTGTCTCGCGATATACTCCTGATAGAAGTTGACGTCTTCGCCGTGGTAAGAGGGATCCCAGTTGGCGAGAGCTCTCTGCTTCTCGGTGGCGGCCATGCGATGGGCGGGCAGTTCTGCGTTCGACGCATTGCCGTTGCGCTCTTCTACAGCTCGCGCAAGGTCGGCCAGATGAGGCTGTATGCGTGACATGAGTTGTTGGCGGCGCCGGAACGCCTCGGCACGGGAATTTTCGAAACATCTCGACTTCCAGATGTTGCTGTCGCGGCCTATGGCAAGGAAGCGGCGGGAAAGGGATTGGAGCTTGACCAGCTCATGAGGCTCGAGGACTGCGGTCTTGTCAGCTATTGTTGCCTGCGGGCATCGGGGTAGAGAGTGGTTTACTTGCACGTTGCAATGTACAAGAGAAGCTCTTCGGGCAGGTAATCCATGGCGACTGGTAAGGAGAAGGAGGGGTGGAATGTGGAATGCGGAATGTGGAGGCCTGAGAGACGGGAGAGCTAGGCCGATAGGCATTCTGCCCCGATCCGAGCCCCGGACTGACGCAATCCCGAAGCTTTGATCTGCACTACTCATACATTTACATTTATGCATACTAACATAAAATAGAGTGAATACTACTCTTCAACTACCTTGTATGAACAATATGTGTGAATGTGTCTGAACGGATGAGTGTCGAGTGAGTGAATGATGAGTGTTGCTACGGTGTATATTTGTCACTCTTTCTCCTTTTTCTTTTCCTATTTCTCCATCTCCTTCTCCATCACCTTGTCTTCGTCGTCGTCGTCGTCCTCCTCCTCCTCCTCCTTTTCCTTCTTCCATCTTCCAATTTTAAAGTTCTTTCCTTCTTCGCAACCCGAACTTTTTCAATTTTTTTTTCGCTTTGGATTGCCAACGTGTCAAACGCAGCATGCTTCTAGGTCCAGTGACGGAATCAACAAAACACTGAGCGCATAGTTTCGCAATGGCACCCACTGCTCTGTATACCATGATGGTACACGACCTTAATGACCACCACATTTACTCACAACAACTAACTCCTGTCAACACTTGCCATGAAACAAGGAATATCGACACTAAAGAGCCGTACACATGTCAGAAAACGTCCATCGGCTCTAAGATTTGCTCCAAGCTACAGCGTTTATTCAAGCTTGGACATCGGAAGAGGCTCCAGCCGCTCGACACACCCGCCCAACAAGAATCTATGGAAGCATGCATACCCACGACCGGAAATGGAAGGACTCGCAACAGGCTTACCAAGCCTATGCCTACGACTGCTGCGACGACGCAGGATACTTCTAAGCAATCGTGCTCGACCATACTAAAATCGGCGTTTCACAGGCTTGTCCACAAACCAAGACCCCAACATATCCTCCATCGTCATGAAGGTGCAGTGCCGGCAGACAGCGAACGGGAAGCAATCTTCCACCCAACCTTGATGCGTGACAGGAAGGATAGAGACGGCTTAGTGACTTCCCCTGTTGAACGCAATACCACGCAAGCACTCACACCCGAGCATAAAGACGAAGTCATCTGGGGCTCAACGAGACGCATCAGTGACGATACCCTGATCCGGCTCACCCTCCGCATCATCAACGACGGTTATCGTCCGGGAAATGTCGATTGCCGGGTAGTGAAGAGGACCTCAGGCACGTTTAACAAAGTCCATGTGGTCGAATTTAACTCTGGCAAGAAGTACGTTATCCGCGTGCCTCGCTTTGGTACCAAGAGCTCGTGGAAAGCTGAAGATGCTGTGGCCCTTCGGTCACAGGCCTTAACAATGAGGTTTATCTCGCAAAAGACGGATCTCCCGATCCCTCAACTTATTGCATATGATACCACTCACAACAATGAGATTGGACATCCTTACATTATTATGACTTTTCTTGAAGGATCGCGAGTCTGCGACGTGTGGGACAACGAAGAATTCTCGCCTAGTCTGGAAATGAGACGCCTGAAGATCATCAAGTCACTGGCATATACCATGACGTCGCTCAAAAATATTTCGTTTGATCTAATCGGCATGCTTCATTTCGACTCTGATGAGAATCTAGTGCCCCGAGTCGGACCGCGCTATGAGATTCTCCAAGGGAGTGAACGATCTTGTGGCCATGGGATCAGAAAGCACGAATCTCGCATGTATGAACCGCTTAAGAGTTCGCATGATCTTTTTCGAGAAATGCTGGCGAACTGGTGGGAGAGTCGCTACAGAGGTGAATCTTCCATTCGGCGGCAGCGAGATCGGATCTACTACCAGTTACTCAGCATCATGGTTGACTGCGTGCCGTCAGCTGTCTCAAAACAGTCTAGATCACCATCATCATGGGAGACTTTTGTTCTTGCTCCCCCGGACTTCAACTGGCAGAACATTCTTGTTAATGACAAAGGCAAGGTTACCGGGATACTCGACTGGGATACTGTCTCTACTGTGAGCCGGTTTCAGGGATGGGCTGCGACCCCACAATGGCTAGCTTGGGACTGGGATCGCAACTACAACTGGGTTGGCGACGTCGGAAATTCGCCGCTCGATTTCGCCCGCTACCGCCAAGCATACGCGCGGTTCATGAAGGAGGCTCTGAATGGATGGGAGACAGTCGATGGCATGTTCACAGCGAAAAGTCACTTGCTTTGCTGGCTGATGACGGCACTGAGCCGGAAGGAGGAGACGAAGAGCTTTCTGGAAAAAATTATGAGCGTAACGTTGCCCAGGGTAAACTTCTACCGATGGCTGGATCGTGTGAGCGGAAGAGGGTGGCAGAGGGGAGAATGGGAGTTTTTACGGGGTAGACTGACAGAGGTCTTCGACTGTACCGTTGAGGGGGCACTTTTATGAATGGGTCCTCGCGTGGGTTAGGGACAGTGCTACAGATGAGCATGGAAGGCTTCGGAACATTCCTCCCTTCTTGTCAATCAAGTACGAGTTTGATGTCTCCTGCATCATTACCTAAAACCGCAACATTAGCGACATGTACCCCAGATGTATGTCTTACCATAACGGTAATGGAATGAACACCCGAAAAAAGCAAAGATGAAGCCACAAAGCTCGAACCCTACCCGAGGCGGGGAAGAAGAGCTGTGACACCCGCCAAGCTTGCAGATCAACAAGACAGGTCTTACTTTAAGCCAACGTCATCCTTCACAATCAGTCTACCTTCCCCTAAGAGAACCAAACTGCGACTGCATCAGCTTGAAAGCAACCGACCTGGTTAAGGAGCAAGAGACAACCCGCATCATGGCTTTGACCGATCCTCCAGTGCCCCTCAGTAGCGCCCCCTGGTCCACAAAATGCGAAGCTTACTGGCTTGTGACCTGGCTGCCAACTGAGGCACTGCCCGAGGGTCTCTACGACCCGCTAGAAGCATCGGACCCTGCGTTTACTTCACCTGAGCGTGCGGGGAAATTCAAGGGCGGGTTAGGAATGATTCAGGTTGTACGGTACAGCGAGACGCCTGTTGGTAGGTTGTGCCAAATTCTCGAGTACCTGGGAGAGCTGATTTGATGAGCCTAGGTGCCTACGATGAGCTGCTCATCATTCCAGGCACGTACGTGCTTCCCGGTAAACACAAGTCAGGAAAACGGATAACCCGCATCTATGTCAGCCAGCCGAATACATGCTATAACGGTGAGCAACTATTGCCATCTGCCACCTCTTCGTCTACCGCGCTCATATCATTCGTTTGTTTAATGATTTTGCTGACACCTACCTCCTTCGGTCGTCCCAGGTCGCCGACTCTGGAACATACCCAAGCACCTCGCCCGCTTTAACTTTACCTCTCCTCCTACGTCCTCGAACGGAACACCACCGCGCACGCTTCACGTAGCCGTCAACCCGCCCTCGACGCATCCCAACACAGGTACCCCGTTTTTCAGTGCTACCCTTACGCCCATGACTCTATTGCCTTCCTTGCCCTTTTCCACGGCCTTATTCCCTTCATGGGGCCCACTCGACGCGACCCTCCTCCAACCGCCACTCCCGTGCCCAACAAGTTCGCCTCCGCTTCAATTGAATGACGACCTGTCCGCGCTCGCTCTGCTCACGGGCACCTCGACATGGAAGAGCCTAGCACCGCAACTGCGGCAGTCGCAAGCACGCGGCATGTGGGTTGAGATGCATGCGCCAGGCCGCGATGGCAGTAGAGAGTCGGAGGAGGTGAAGAAGTGGTGGCCGTCGGCCGTGTCGCCATTTAGAATCGGATTGTGGCTGCAAGATGCTGTCTTGGATTTACCTGTAGCGGATGAGTGGGACGAGTAATGAGATGGGGAAAGCGATGTGCTGTACGATATTTCAGTCGTTGAGGCGGCGGTGGACTGATCAATGGTATTCTTGTACGGCCAGGAGATAACTGTGACTGGTGGGATCAAACTACACCCAAAAACCGCGGACGAGTGCACTCAGTATGATTGATCCAGTGTGGCTTTGAAAGTCAGCAACCTTGGAGTGGAGCATGCGCAGCGTTTCTCTGTACTGATGTGAGTCTCATTTTGAGACAGACAAGCAAAAACACCCAGAAGTAGTCAATCTTTGTAGGCAAAACAGGTATCCTCCCTATGCTCTTTTAATGGAATAACAACCCAACCAAATTCCACAAACTTTTTTTTCTCTTGTTTTATGGGAAATCAAAATGAGAACTTTTTGAATTTTTGGGTCGAAAAATGGAAGCAAAGCCCCCTTGGGAGACTATTACGCTGTGAGACGGAGAAAAGCCGAAGATAAGGAGTCAGCCATAACCCGTGAAACATTTGACGCCATGAGACAATACAACGAAAGTGTGTTCCGCTGCAACCCGGCCCTTTTTACGGAAGACAAAAAGAGGCAGCAAAAGAACAAATGAACATCCCGCCTCAGAGCGAAAAGCGGCAGAAGCCCGAAACCACTTGGCTTCAGAAAGCCGGAAGGGTATCTGTGTGGCGGGAGATGGGAGGTGATGAAACCTCTCCTTGTCCGATTTTGAATGGAAAGAAAGTGATCCGACCAACCAGTCTATGTTTGTGCAAAAAAAGTTTCTCCATCTCCAGCCTTTCTATGCCACCGTCGAAAAATTTCAGGCAACGCCGCACCTAACCAAAGCAACCCAGAGAAGATATTTTGAGTGGCAAAAATAGAGAAGGCACCATGCCATTCTCCGTCTAACGATGCAATCATCACGCGATGCTATCGATCTCTGCCGAACCGAACGGAATGGAGGAGCAGACTTGTTGAATCCGCGGGGTATCATGCTTGTCAGAACATGTTATCGCCCATGCCGGCGAGACCGGCACCGGCGACATTGACATTCATGCCCTGCAGGTTCGGCGCCAAACCAGCGAGGTTCATGGCATTAAGCTTAAGCTCTGGGTTGCACGGTGGCGAGTGCGCGCGATGGTATTTAAGACCATTAAGGTTCTTATAACGCTTGCCGCACGTCTCGCAACGGTACGGCTTTTCCTTCTCCATTCCAACCGTGCCAGGATACGGCACGGAGGTCTCCGGATCGACAATGGAAAAGGTGCCGTCGGCATTCTCCTTGAGCTGTTGGTTTTGATGTCCGTGCTGTGTGCGGTGGAGCCCTATCAGCCACCAATCTCGAGACAATTCACGTTTGCTGGCATTTTGGGTGGGATACTCACCTGCTTGTGGTATTTCAAGCCGTTTTGGTTCTTGTACGCTTTTTCGCAGCCGATGACGGGGCACTTGAACGGCTTGATCTCCTCGCTTGGGAATAGGCCGTTGCCCGCCATGAGCGCCAGGTGCTGCGCGCGTACCTGCTTCGCGATTTCGCTGTCTGTGCCCAACTTGCCTTGTCGAAGCGCAAATTGCAATTGCTGAGGCGTGAGACCTCCGCCTTGCTTGCTGTAAAGCCGCTTTGCCGGTTGGTCTATCGTCCCATCGAAACCGTCCATTCCACCCGAGAACCCAGGCACGTTGCCATAGTTCATATCACTGCCGCCCATGTTCATTTGTGAGCCCATTGGCATCTGCATACCGCCAAAGTAATTGCCCAGGTCTTGGTCAAACTCGCCGGGAGTGCCCGGTACCGACGAATCGGGGGTCCTATTCTGCTGTACATGCCCGCCAAGCGTCGGTGTGTTCACAGAAGAAACAGTGGGATTGTTCTGAAGAGGGAATCCCGGGTGACCTCCAGACGGAGTGGTTGGCGCGGAGGTGCGGAAGCCTTGGTTCTGAACAGTATTTGCGAGGTTGATGTTCAGCTGCGGATGCCGATCGTTGTTTTGACCAAATTGCGATTGTTGCGACTGGAAAGACTGCTGTGGGCCGCCCAGTGGCGTCTGCGGGTCATCCATTTCCATATCTTCAAGAGTATCCATGTCCTGTACAGTCGACAACTGAGACTTGTTGAGGCCATTGTTACCATAATTCGGCGACTGGAACTGCTGCGGCCGGAAGCCGTGTTGTTGGTTGGTCGCGTGATTTTCCGTCTGTTGGGGACTTATTATGTTTCCAGAAGTTATCGAGTTTCTGCCGACATGGCCAAATCCGCCTTGTCCAGATATCGACGGCCTCTGCATGGTGGCAGAAGGCTGCGCGTGACACTCTTCAAAATGTTGTAGCAATTCATGCAGTGAGTCGAGGGTGAGACCGCAGCAGTTGAAGTCCTTCATGAAGTTGGCTTCCATTTTGGGCAAATACGACGAGGAGTGAAACGAGGGCGACCGACCGAAGGTGTAGGGAGAAGTGCCAGCCATGATGACGCTGTTGAATGCAAAGTCAGCTGAAGCTCTAGCAGAACGTGGGAGACCTTCGAAATGTTGCTTCGCAGCATCGCTGGCAGGGACGTATGCAAAGTACTCACTCATCGCGAATCCAGCTCCCGACCGAAACTCCTCCCCAGCTCATTCCATTTAGCAGGCTACCAGCAGTAGTGCTCTCCCTCCTCGGCCGGTCCTTGACCGAGATGGGCCTGGCACCGGAGCCATAGTAAGAGCCGTAGTTGGTGTACGAGTCCTGGCGGCCGCCTATGCTCAGTTTGCCATCGTTGCCACCGCGCGTCATAGACGTCGGGGCCTGGATGGGCTGAGCGCCCGCATTCTGGAGAGCAGATGTGAGGGTTGAGGTTTGATTCCGGGGCGAGCTCGAGCTCTGGCGGGAAGTAATAATGTCGACAGGCGCTGCTGACGTCGCCATGTGTAGGTGCTCGACTCGGGTGCGAGGCGAGCCGGAAAAGAGCGGAAAGCTGCAGTCGGCGAGGTGCTCGGACAATGTGCCGGAATCAAGGTCGGACAGGCGGTCGCTAGGAATGCCGCTGGCGCCAGAGAAACGGCGCGGTCCCGTTGTGGCAGGAGAAGTAGTCGTGGCCCTCGGGGTGGTAGGGGCGGAGGCCACAGGCGCGTGGCGAAGGCTGGCCGGTGGTGGAGGGTGTTGGTGTTGGTGATGGTGATGGAGGGTGGTGGAGGTGGTGGTGGGGGAGAGAGGAGGTCGAGAGGAGCGGACTGGATGAACGAGTCGCGGTCGTAGACGGTCTCGCCAGTGGGAGAAAGGGCGGGAGGCGGTGGCGTCTGCGAGAGGCAGGCAGCTTCGAGGTGGAGAGGACGGCGGTTATGTCAATCGGGCAGCGGGCTTGCCAGATGCGGCGTGGGATCGGCTCGAGTCAGTGGAGCCGGATCGTACCAAGCGGCCGGAATTATTGCTGCAGCAGCGGTAGGCGGGCGGGCAGCAGCAGCGGCTGGCAGCCAGTGGTCGAGGGGAGCCTGCGGGCGGTGGGAGGCGGGCAAAGCGGTAATGGGCTGGCTGGGGGCAGCGACAACAACGACTCGGTGGGGCCAGCTCTTATTTTATTCTTGGAAAAAGGAAAAGGAAAAGAATAAAAATAAGAAAAAAGACGGATGAAGAAGACGATGAAGAATCGAAGAAGAATTCTTAGTTGGAGGGCAGATATGCAGAGAAAAGCAATTGCAGTTCGTTGCTCATGCATGCATGCACATTCACTAGGTAGACTAACGTGAGGTACTGCCCGCTCACTCAACCCCCAAGTCGGCCCTACGAGAAGCGGCCGTCCATGGTTTTCCTCAAGCCCCGCCCACCCGCCGGCGCTGCTGGCAAAAGCGCACGCCAGCCGACACACTTTGCCAACGGCCTTCTAGAAAGCCCGTCACTCGCTTGCGGTCTCGGACCACGTGGCGGCCATGCGGAGATCCTCGGCGTGTCGAGGTGTGCATTAAACTATCGCCGCCTTCCTCAGGCCCGTCGTTGCTACGCCCGAAAGGACCCTGGCCGTAACTCGGCGCCGTTTCATCCTGCCCAACCCACTCTCCCCGCGAATCCTCCCCTGTCATTTCCTTAGCCCTCGGCCTCAATTTCGTACGCGTTCGACTTGTGCTTCGGCTGGAACTTGAACGTCTCGGGCGCCTTGCCCAGGAACATTTCGCTGATGCGGATCCAGTCACGGTAGTTGTCGCTAGCCATCAGCGTCTCCAGCTCATCGCGGCCCCGGAACGCCGGCGCGCGGTCTTGGATGTTGGGCGGTAGGTGCTCCAGCAACCCAACGGGCGTGTACCGACACGTGAAGCTCAGCCATTCCAGCAGAAAGCGGCGCGTCGTGCCCACGCCCATCTCGTCAGAGCCCCACGTCTCCAGTCCGTTCTTGACAAACTTCTCCACGTACTGCAGCCGCTCCGATGACCGTTTGTCCAAGTGCTGCTGCGTCTCAATCTCCTCGAAGATCCACGGCTTGATGAGCGCCCCCCGCGCGATCATCACGCTGTCCACCTTGTCCTCCTCGATGGCCCGGTAGTAGTCCGTGTGTGAGTAGCAGTCGCCGTTGCCGACAAAATACACCTTGCCGCTGTTCGGCTGGTTCCGTGGGTCCACGTCTGCGGCAGTGTCCGCCATGCTGGCCCGCTCGGCGTTGAGCCGGCTGATCAGCGCTGCGCACTCGGAAATGTAGCCCCAGTCGGCGCTGCGCGTGTACCGCTGCTGCCGGCTGCGGCCGTGCAGTGTGATGGCCGCCACACCGCAAGGCCCTTCGCCTGCCTGTCGCGCCTCGTGCCCACCCAGCACGAGGTTGTTTATCAGCTTTTGCGCCGTCGGCTGGTCGTCTTTGACACCCATTCGAATCTTGACTGTTATGGGCACCTCGCCGGACACGGCGTTCATGCCCCGTAGCATCTTCTCCAACTTCCCGCGTGCATCGAGTAAGGCGGAGCCAGCTCCTTGCCTGTATACCAAATCGATGGGACAACCGCAGTTGAGATCAATGGCCCGAAGATGGGGACAGAGATCGGTAAGCACCTCGGTCGTTTTCAGAACATTCCAGGGCTTGTTCCCCGCAATCTGCACTCCGAACTTGAGATCCTTCGAGTTGTCGTAGCCAGCCACAACGTCGTTCTTGCCGAGGAATCGCGGCGCGGTAGCTTCGGATTCATGCGCTTTGACTAATGCCCATTCGCTCTTCTCGCCCTGGATTAGAGGAAGACCCATGGCCATTTCTGACCAAGTGATTTGCGCACCCAAGTCAACACAGAGTCGCCGAAACGGAAGGTTTCCTTGCGTTGTGAGAGGGGCCAAGACAGGTGTCTCAGGTCCATAGTAGATACGCCGCTTTTCGGAAGGTAAGAATGGAGGCTCCTTGTACTGTGCCCTGTTATCTTCCATCGCTTCTTTGCTCTCAGCTGCTGCCTCTCCTTCGGAGATTGATGCTCTATCCCGTGACCTTTCCAGGTTGTTGATATACTCGAGGTAGGCGTCCGCCTTCGGCGTCTTTCTTCTCTTCCTGTTGAGTTCGATTTTGTGCTGGACAGATACGACATTGACATGGCCAATATCATCCCCATGCTCTTCTTTGGCCTGCTCTGCCTTTTCCTTCCGTACCGGATCCTCAACCAAGACTAGCTCCTTTCGCTCATCATCAGTTGTTCTCTCCTCAGAGTGGGTGCCAACGAGACGGCACTTCCACCCCACATTACACCAGCCCCGCTTATCCCAAACGGGGCATATCTCAAAAGTTGTAAGATCTTGGCGCTTGCCCTCGCTGAGGTACTTGCGAAGATCATGTTCATACTTGCATTTGTCGCCAAACTTGCACTGTTGAGGGGAAAACTCGGGGCTGAACGCCACAGATGAGCAAAGCTGCAGAACATCTCTGTGGCTACCGTAATGGCGGTCCTTGTTCTGACCGCGCTCCTTGTCTTTTTTTCCTTTCTTGCCTCCTGCCTGGCTACTGTCCTGGCCGGAGTGCTTTGCTCCTTCGGCAACGTCGTCATCCCGCTCGGCCACAACTCGCCCGTGTCTGAGTGTGGCGGGGTCTAGCAGGTATCTGATGTCATCGTCAACTTTTAGAGTGCTTAACGAGAATAAACCGTGACGAAGCCGGAGTCACGCAACGTCAAAGTGATACCGGCAAAGGGCGCTACTCGTACTCTACTTACTCGGCTTTAATGGGAGCGACTCCTTTCTGTCTAACTGACATATCCGTTGTACCTTGGCATACGTCAGCATCACTGAATTGAGGATAACGCAGGATAAAACAAGCGCATACTGTCTGCCAGTCGAATACGTTTCGCCGGAGAGGCGTCGGGAGAAGTTGCATCGGGTAACCCGTGACGCTCGATTTTCTCAGCCTTGGTAGTGGCAGAGTCTCCGGGTAGTGGTGGTTGGGGTGGGTGAGCCGCTTCGACCGTCATGACGCCTTCGGGTGCCGGCCTCAACGGATCTTGGGGGTTTAGAGGATTGCCGGGGACTGGCGTGTCGTCGCCGGCAGGCCGATCGCCATTGGAAGACATGACTTGAGAAATGCGACAGGAAAAGGTGTGGTTGGAGAGAAAAGAAATTCGGAACAGAAAGGAAAGGCAGGCTTGATGAGGGCCGCGCCACTTACTCGCGCCGAAGACTTAGCGCGCCGGTATGCCTACCGAACCGACTGTCGAGTGAAGTATCTCCACGACAGGTAGGTGCTGAGCTCGCGATGGCGGAAGATTTTCCATGAGACTGACGGTCACGTGCGGTCGGGGTTAGCAACGCCCGTGTTTACCACGGCCCGCGACAGAGCTCCACCGGACAAACAAACAATGGCCGACCCCTACAGTTTGAAGAGCGCGTCAACCTACCTGAACAACCTGCTGCTCGCCCGGGGCCTCCTCCGCAATGGCAAGCCAGTTGAATTTGCTCACCCGTCCAAGGGAGAGGGCGGCAAGGAAGCAACAATGGCACAGATCATCAACGTTGTCCACGACTTGATTCTACGCCGAGATGTATGCGAACAACCTTGGACGCTCCCATACCTACTGACTGACACCCTACCCACAGCGCGATCAGGAACAGCGCGATTCCCTATCACAAACACTTCGCTCCGTCCGTGCGGATTCCCAACGTACCACCCTCGCCCTTGAGCGCCTCCAAGCGCGCAACGACGATCTCTCGCGCCAGCTTTCCCTCGCCCAGTCCTCGGAACGCGCCGCTAAAAATGCCCTTTCTGCTGCCGAACGCTCTGCGCGCTCACTCCGGGAAGAGATGCTCCGCCTCAAAGCTACCGTCCATCAGGTACGCACCGCCTGCGCAAACGATGTCCGCAAACGCGATATACAAATCCAACGTTTGAAGACGCATCTCACAGCGCAGCAAAGAGGTAACAAGACCGGGCTAGTGGGTGCAAGCATCACGATTGCCCCCGGTTCAAGTAATGGGCCAGCTAGTATGGGTCGAGAAGGAGACATGTCTGGTGTGGATGATCCGGAGTATAATTTGAAGCAAGAAACAACTGAGTTCCTTACGCAGCTCAGCCAGGGCCTGAGTGATGAGAATGACAATTTGATCGGCTTGGTCCGGAGCACTTTGTCAACACTAAAGGAACTACAAGGGCTACCGGAGAATGTTGAAAGAATACGCGAGGCTGGCCAGGAACAGGTAGAAGGCGAGGAGACGGAGGAAGGCATGATGCATGCATTGCCCACATCCTACGATTTGCTGGCTGCGGACATGGATCACGTGTTAGAGAATTTGAGGACGTTGCTGACGAACCCCAACTTCGTCTCAATCCATGAGGTGGAGCTTAGAGAAGAAGAGATAATAAGGCTAAGAGAGGGTTGGGAAAGAATGGAAGCAAGGTGGAGAGAAGCGGTAATGCTGATGCAAAGCTGGAAACAGCGTATGGTTGATGGCGGCGACACAGTCAATCTTGATGAGCTCAGGAAAGGTCTGGGCCTAGGCGATGGCCTTGGTACTCTGGCCGAGGAGGGTGACGAGGATGAAGAAGAAGAAGAAGAAGAAGAAGAAGAAGAGATGGGAAATGAAATGGAGGATGTCGAAGAGGCTACGGAAGAGGAACCCAGCGACCTCGACGAGCCGGCATTGCCATCACCGGAGAAACCTATACCGGAAGACAAGAAAACGGACATCTTTGACATCAAGTTACGCCCCTGTCCTCCAGCCTTGAAGGAGTCCGACCCGAACTCCAGGTCACCGCGCAAAACCGAGTTCACGCATTCCATTGCGGACTCTTCAGTCAATACAACCACCACAAATACGCCCTCGCAGCTTCGTGACGAGAACGAGTCTGAGGTCGACCTTCTCGCTCCACCATCTAAGGCCAAGGCCGCCTCCACCTCTAAACGATCTTCCGCCATCAATCCATCATCTGAGCGTATAAGGAGATCGACTCGGTCCACCCGGTCTACTGCCCATGAGTCCGGCATCCCACGAAGCGTACGTTTCCTTTAACCTCATTGTCGAAACGATATCAAAACAGCAAAGCTCATCCGCATCTAATCGTCCACCTCAACCTACACCTTCAGCTCGACGATATACACCTAGATTGAACAAGCTGCTAACGTTTCTGTTGCCAGTCTCGCAAACGCCGCTCAAGCCCATTACCCCACGAAGACGAACGCAGCCCGAAATTGACCGTGCAGGAGAAACTAGGCGCCGCGGCTGCGGAAGCTGATGCGGCGGCTTTGGCGGCAAAGTTGGGCAGTGCAAAGAAGGAAGAGACAGCAGAGGAAACTCAGAAGGGGAGAATGCCTAGGAAGAGTGGCGTTAGAGGTAAAGCAAAACGGAGAAAGAGCACGTTGAGTCCCGAGGAGTTGGAGGAATTAATGGGGCTCGCAGAGTGATGTGGATGAAGTTGGTCGATTCGTCTGGTACCTCTATCAAGAGGGTGTTGGTACTATTTGAATACCTAATGAATGAGCATGCCCGTGTCACGGAGCGTGGAGCATGGCCTGAGTCGTTGCTGTGGGTATCGATTGTTGATTGACAGCGCGATTAAAGCGGCCTAACCGAAGAGTCCGTTTGAATTGCACCTAGCCCCCGTTGCGGAGCCATGAGAGTCGGTCAGGCCAGTACCTACGAAGTACTTTGCGTACAAGCGTACACGCATCAGTGAGGGCCTAGGGGATGCTTCGGAGCGCGCGGGGGAAGCCGAGCTGGTGGAACAGGGGGCCGCACGTGGGATCGACCGGGCGCCGAGCGCCCCGACGCAGACGGTTGTCTCTCAGCGTATTCTCACAGACGACGTTCGCCCAACACCTTTCGCTGCACGTCTTCACCTTCTCGGCCAGTCGCGAGCATTCGACGGCCATCTGATAGCAGGGCCGCCACGCACGCACGCGCACTGAAACCTCCATGTTGCGTTAGCGTGGGGAAAAAGAGCCGGGAATCTAGACCATCCAAACTAGCCCCTCGCTTCGCCACAGCATGGCCGACAACGCGTACGGCATCGAGACGCCACCCAAGGTGACGAGAGTCCGCCCGCAATTGAGCTGTATCCCCTGCCGCCAGGGCAAACTCAAGTGTAATCGAGCCCACCCGGCATGCGATCAATGTGTGAAGAGATCACGCGAATCAGCGTGCAACTATGTGCCTCCGCCACCAAAAGATCGAGGCCGCAAGGCAAAAGACATGCGAGGCCGAATCCGCCATCTGGAAGGTCTTGTGGTCGACTTGATGAACGGCAAAGATCCGCGTGCGCTGAACCTCCCCGGCTTCAGTGACCCATCGTCCGCTGCACGACGGCTGCCCACCCCGGAACACGCATCGCCTGACTACCACACCAGCCACGATGGGCCAAAGACTCATTCCAACTCTGGAGACGATGAGCCGCTTACTGCCAGCGCCTTCGGAGCATTAAGGATTAGCGATGCGCAAACCACATACACGGGAGGCTCACATTGGACAGCGATATTGCACGACGTATGCTATCTCCCTTTTGTCATTAGCAGAAGCTACTCGATGTTGCCGAGACTACTTTCTTGATGTTGCAAGCTGGCTAATGCTTTTGGTAGATTAAAGAAGTGAAAAATCTCCTGGAGAACGAGGATGACGATGAAGAGGAACCGGAGAAGCCTGAGCCCGAGTTCGACGAGGAGAAACCATTTCGCTTTAGCCTTGTTGTGGGATCACCGCCGCCTGTCAGTAAAAAGGACCTCCTTAGGAGCTTGCCACCGAAAGCAGAAGTCGACCGCCTCGTGACTCTCTGGTACAACTCTCAAGACCCGACTCTTACCATCCATCACATCCCCACTTTTCAAACCGAGTATAGGAGGTTCTGGAGCGATCCATCCAGCACCCCCATCATGTGGATCTCACTCATTTATGGCATATTATCCGTGGCGAGCATATACGAATTACGCACCGTACCGGAAAGTCCTACTCCCGAATATTCACAAAAAGCCATGAGGGCATCAGAAAAATACCGCACTCATGCGGCTTCCGCGGCCGTTATTGGTGAATATGCAAAGCCTAAGCCATACACTCTCGAGGCACTGATGGAGATCGCCGCAGCCGAGTATCTTGGTGGCAACGGTACGGCAACGGAAGTATGGCTTGCGTTTGGGGTTCTTATTCGACTTGCTTTGAGAATGGGCTATCACAGGGACCCAAGTCACTATGGAAACATTAGTCCGTTCCATGGCGAGATGCGCCGGCGGGTTTGGCATTTGATCTACCCTCTGGACGTTCTGTTTTCATTCGCTCTCGGTCTCCCTGGTACCGTCCGCAGATTTCAAAGCGACACCCTACCACCGCGGAATTTACATGATCATGATCTTTCGCCCGATATGGAGGAGCTGCCTCCTGAAAGACCAGTGACTGAAATAACGCCCGTAAGCTACAGTATTTCCAAGAGCCGGTTGATCGCTGTCTTTGCAGCTGCGGCCGATGCGTCCCACGCCGTTACGCCATCCTCATACCCAGAGATTATGGAGCTAGACCACCGGCTCAAGGAAGCACATGCTCTGATACCGCCCGCACTGCGCATGCACTCTTTGAACCAATCAATTGCGGACCCACCAGAGCTGATTATGAATCGCTTTAATCTTGAAATGCTCTACCAGAAAGCACGCTGCGTTCTCCATCGAACATATCTGGTCAAAGCACACGACGATCCCACCTACGAACATTCAAGACAAGCCTGTCTAGAGGCAGCCCTGAGACTGCTTGAGCTCCAGTCGACTATATACTATGCGTGTCAACCAGGGGGACAGCTCAAACAGGTCAAGTGGTATTTCTCTTCCCTTACAAGCCATGATTTCCTCCTGGCAGCAATGCTTGCTTGCCTGGAACTGAACTTGGAAAACCAAAAAGGCACACCTCCTGGAGCGGAAGAAATTGCGACGAGAGACTTTGCAATCAAGCTGTTCAAAGTCATGGAAAATTCCAGCCTCATTTGGGACTCATATGAAGCTAACTTGATAGATTCAGCCGAGGCAAGAAGAGCGGCCAAGGCGTTTCGTACCATATTGACCAAATTACGTGTGAAGTGCCCTGTACTCAGGGCGGTGAGCATGGTAAACCAATCTTCTACAGAACCTTGTGAGTTTACCCCCGAAATTGCCTTCATTTATACCATATCCTGGGAGGAGAAGGGATTGACTTTTTGTAGTCACTGGCGCGTCTATCCCAATGCCTAGCACGGCTACGGCATCCAGCGAGCCAGGAGCAACCTTTATGTCAAGCGAGCCGCCTCTACCAGTTGTCGATGCTCCAGCTGGTGCCTACAATGCTCCGAATTCCGATCCTCTGGGTGATATGCTTGACATGCCACCAATGAACATTAATTGGGTAAGTCAACTTCAACCGAACTCTGGGAGCTTTATCCACAACTGCAGTGATGGCTTTTCCCATTCTTGTCAATACCACTAACCAAGCAGTAGGAAACATGGGACAAGAACGTCGTCACCTTTGACGATATGATCAATGAAATCCAACAGTGGTCTATACCACCAAACCTCGATGCCAGTGCTTTCTCTGAGGGGTACAACAACGATACACATTTTGGTTATCGCGTTTAGATTCCCGATACCACTCCTAGACGGATTTCATCATTCTCGGCAGCATTGAAGATAGCCGGCTGCACTCGAGTTACGGTGACTTGTTTCAACATCGCAGCAGGTGTTGTATGAAATGCGTCTTCGGAAACCTAAGAATCAGTACCTACCTGTCTTTGACGAGAGCCGTCATTGTATCCCGAAGTCTTTGACATCTACCACGAACTGCTGATCCAGAGGATCATAGCTCGGGTGGCTGCAGTCAAACGATTGTCCAACCTATTGTATATAGCGAGTAACGATTTTCAACTGCTACTTGTCGTCAACCTTGACTTTCAGCCTTTTAGAGTCTCTTCCGAGTCGGCACGCACCCAATTCCGTAGTGCTTTGCTGTAACTACGTTCACAGTAATGATGAACAGCTTGTTGCGCGAAATGAACTTTTTAGCAAAAGGCCAAAGCGCGGTGCACTGCTTGGGGGCGCATCGACGTGTTCAATGATGCATTTTAGAGCAGGGTATAAGCCAATCAATTATCACGCTGGCTGGGTGAACAGCTACGAGCACGTGATGATTGCGGTTGTCGTCAAGGAGCTTGGACGGACAGCGCGTTGCTATGCCAACAGGGACAACAAGCTACCATAAATGGGACTTTCAAAACTCGTCGGACCCTTCCTCCTTCCTCACTATCATCTCTCTCCAAATCTTCCCCATTTTCCACCAACCTCAAATCCTCTTCGTTCACGCGTCATTCTACAACAATACAACATATCAAACACTTATTGCATTACGGTTATAATACGCCATGGCCTGTCCTGTGGTTATGAGCCCTCCAACCACTCCACTCGGCATCAAGAGACAGACACGCCTTCGCAGCCAGCAGCAATCGCCACAGACTCCCATCCGCAAGCTGGTCTTGTCGGAGGAGAAGGAGCACTCCATCCACATCGCATCTCCGCTCGGCTCTGCATCGAAGCGTCAGCCCTCTCAGTCACAGAAGTCCAACATCGCTCGTAGCTCGCCGAAGGCAATTGATCTTGGTGTCTCCGAGTTTTCTCTGACTGGGTCGGGTAACCCGACGCCTGTTACCACTGAACGCAAGACCAAGAAGTCATCTAAAGTCTCCGCTACCAAGCCTAGACCAACCAAGACAACGCTCCGTGTCCCTCGCAATCCTACCGACCGCTTCATTCCCCAACGCCTGACTTCGGAAGCCATTGACAACGTCAACGTATCAAGAATTTCATCCCGTAGCGAGTCGGCTCGGCCTTCCTCTAGGGAAAGCAGCAACAACGACGGCTCTACTGTGCTTGCATCTGCCGCCAACGATCTCAACATCTTCGGTGGCTCGGCGGAGGACGATTTGGCACAGTCCTTTGGCCGCGTGAGATTGGAGGACGACGGCGCCGAAGACGAAGAGTCTACTAAGAAGCCTTCTCCCAGAACCGTGGCTTACCAGGACTCCTTGGCTCAGGCTTGCGACATGCACATCGGTTCGCGCATTCTCGAATTCAAGCCTGCGGCACCGCAGTCCACCAAGCCGGTGGATTTGCGGGCCCAGTACAACCGCCCTCTTAAGTCTATCAGCGGTCAGCTTCGCCGTCGCATTGCCTCTGCTCCCGAGAGAGTTCTTGATGCGCCCAGCATCATTGACGACTACTATCTAAACCTTCTCGACTGGTCTGCCGGTAACCAGGTTGCTGTTGCTTTGGAGCGTTCCGTCTACATCTGGTCTGCCGACACTGGCTCAGTCAACTCCCTCTTCGAGACTTCTGATGACACGTACATCACCAGTGTCAAGTGGAGTGGTGATGGTGCTTACGTCGCCGCTGGACTCGACAACGGCGAGGTCCAGATCTGGGACGTCGAGGATGGGACCAAGCTTCGCAGCATGCACGGCCACCCCCAGCGTGTGGGTGTCATGGGCTGGAACAAGCATCTTCTCTCGACGGGTGACCGGTCTGGCCTCATCATCAACCACGACGTTCGCGTTGCTGATCACAACGTCGCCGAACTGACCGGCCACAGCCACGAGGTCTGTGGCTTGGAGTGGCGTTCGGACGGTCAGATGCTGGCTTCTGGTGGCAACGACAACCTGGTCAACATCTGGGATGCTCGCAACCTCATGGAGGCGAAGCACACCAAGACTAACCACCACGCTGCAGTCAAGGCTCTTGCCTGGTGTCCATGGCAGCTTAACCTGCTGGCGACGGGCGGTGGTTCCAACGACAAGCACATTCACTTCTGGAATTCGACGACGGGTGCACGCCTCAACTCGATCGATACCGGTAGCCAGGTCACCAGCCTCAAGTGGTCGCCGCATCACAAGGAAATAGTCTCGACGGGTGGTTTCCCCAACAACGCTCTGTCAGTGTGGGTCTATCCCACGCTGGCCAAGATGATTGAGATTCCAGCCCACGAGCAGCGCATCTTGTTCTCGTGCCTCAGCCCCGACGGACAGACGCTCGCAACGGCCTCGGCAGACGAGAACCTCAAGTTCTGGAAGCTGTTTGAGAAGAAGGCGGGCCAAACGGCCGTGTCGGCGAAGCCGCGCGCACTGACTGGGCCGACGACGCAGATTCGCTGATAGGGCCTTGGAAGTTGAAGGACGTATGGCGTTTTAAGGAAGGAAGGAAGGGGATTGGCTGGCGTTTTGGTGTATTCGTCCCTACCTAGGTACTCTACTGTTTACGTGTAGTTACGTAGTACTACGTAGTGATAAATCCGACGCACGGCCTTGATGGCTCGTGATAAGATTAGATCTTGACCTGGACTACCACTGGTGCCACTAGTACGTACTCGCACTCTCCTACGCGCGCGCGCATCACGCTCGCCCATCACAACCTACCACGCTCCAAGATGCTTTCAGGTGAGCAGCTGCTAGAAGGCGCCGCTAGAGACGGCTCGCTGGCCCCGTGAGTTGGCCTGCTTCCCTGCTCTCAGAGCCGCCAAACTGACATACACAGCTCTGAGTGGCCGCGCGCGCTCGAGTTCTTGCTGCCTCGCCTCGATCACGTATGTCCTCGCTCACTGTCCGAGTAACCAAGTCTCACCTACCCCAGATTGTCCACCACGACTTCCCCGCCACCACCCTTCCGCCGCCACCTGCGCCGTCCAGCCAGGATTCACTGTCGGCCGACAAAGAGAACGCTCCGCCCTCCCCACCCCAAGCCGATGGCGAGCCCTCACTCCCCCCCGAGTTGCGCAAGTTGCACGCCGCCGTCTCCACGACCCTCTCGAACAACTTTGCCAATGAGCCTCCGCACACCATCCAGCGCTTGTCCGAGCTCGTCCTCCGCCCAAAACAGCACTATCGTTTCCTTCCTTCCTACCTCCGCGCCCTTGATCGCGTCGTCTCGGTCTCCAGTACTACGGCCGTCTTCCCGCTGCCTCAGGCCGCCGTCCCAGCCAGCAGTAGCGTACTGAACGGTATGAGCTCGGGTGTCGCTACCAATCCAGCGGCCGTGTTGGGCAGCGATGAGAGTTTGGGCGGCGCGTTATTGACACCAATTCCGTGGCTGAGAGCAGATAGAGAAAGAACCGACGGTGCAGCTGGCAGTGCGCGCAACCAAAGCGAACTCGTGAGAGAAAGCACCGAGATGGTAGACGGGCCAAATGGGGCGGGCAGAATCGAAACAGTGTCAGTTATCAACGGCATGCTAGGCTCAACGCCTACGGCATCAACAATGGCTGGCACACCACCAACAACTGCTGCGTCTTCAAACGTACCCTCCACCACTTCAGATGCTCTCCGCGAACAAGGCGCCGTCACACAGGGCGAATTGTTACGCCAGGAGCAGGAGGCTGGCGTCGTGCCCGTTGGTCAAACAACGCCGCGGCGTGGGCTATTGTCAACGGCTGCGGTAACAGGTGGCACGACTGAACCAGCCGAAGAATCAAATACTCAGGATGAGCCGCCAGAGGAGCACCCACATGCACGAGGTCCGGAGGAGATTGGTGCTGAGGATATGGGTCCCCAAGATCGTAGGTTGGGTGGAGGAATAGATCTTGAGGCGGCAGTTGGGCGGCCGGCGGTCAAGTCTGAGGAAGAGAGGACGGAGACGAAGGAAGGGGACGCACTGCCTGAAGGGAAGGAAGAAGAGATGGAGGATGTGGGAGCAGATATGGAACCTGCCCCTTCTTCGACCGACTCAGAGGTCCGAGAGGCAAAGCGTGTGAAAACTAAAGACTTTGCGAATGAGAAGGACACAAAGAAGGAAGCGGATGCCAAATTAGATAAAGGCTCAGGTGGTGATAAAGCGATGACTGATGCGTCAGATACTCCAGCACAATAAATCAAATGTTTATCTGAAAGTATCGATCGAACATAATATAAATACTTAGCTCCCTCTTTATAATTATCCATAAATCATGCGCGGAGTATTATTAAGGTAGAAAATAGTAAATATTAGTAACTATAATAAACAGAAATTAGTGACCCTTATAATGCTTTAATATATTATCTTAATTCTAAAGTCTAGGTTAAAATACTTTAGATATATAGGTAAAGTAAACTATTAGAATTTATAATATTAATAGAGTTTTTTTTTAAAAAAAAAAAAAAAATAGCTATTTTTTAAGAAATATTTTATATTTCTAGGGCTATTTACCGAGATTATATATTTCTTCGAATATTTTTTGAGATACACATAATATTTCTAAGATACACATACTTAAAAAGTCTCTCTAAGATACACATAATTTTATATATTTCGCTTGTAAATAAATATATTACAGTATATTACAAAAAATGTGTATCTCAGAAAAACAAATCGAAAAACATGTGCATCTTAGAAATTATAACGAAAAAAAATGTGTATCTTAGTAATTTTTTTTTAAAAAATTTACATTCCTAAAACAAAAGAGACTTTTTTTTAAAAAAATAAAAATAAAATAAATATAATCTTAAAAAAAACTGAATATACTCTTAAAAAAATTGAATATATTTCTTTTTAAAAAGAATTCTTTAGAAAAAATCGAAATATTTTATTTTCTAATTATTCTAGTTTTTTTAGGAGTATATTCGTTTTTTTTTTAAGAATATATATATTTTTTTAAGAATGTATTCGATTCGGCTATTTACTAAGATACACATTTTTTATCGTATAATTTCTGAGATATATATAATATTTCTAAGATACACATATCGAAAAGGTCTCTCTAAGATATACACTTTTTATATATTTCGCTTGTAAATAAATATATTATAGTGTATTATAAAAATATGTGTATCTTAGAAAAAACCGAAAAATATATGTACCTCAGAAATTTAGCGAAAAAAGCGTGTATCTCAGGAATATATTTAAGAAAATATATGTATCTTAGAAATATATTCCAGATATATGTGTATCTTAGAAATTAGCTCGAAAAAAATTGTGTATCTTAGTAATATTTTCTTTTTAAAAAAATATTGCTATAAATAATAAATATACTCGTAAAAAATCGAATATATTCTAAATAAAAATTAAATATATTCTTAAAAACAATACTCTTAAAAAAGCGAAAACAAATTCTTAAAAAAAAAATCGAAATATACTCTTACTAAATTCTAAAAAAAAAAATTAAAATATGTTTATAAAAAATAACTAAACAGAACATAATATATATATATATATATATATATTTAGGATATATTCGTTTTTTAAGAATATTTTTTAGAAATATTCTCGATTTTCTATAAATACTTATTAGTTTTTTTAAATTATTTTTAGGAGTTTATTCGTTATTTAAAAAAAATTTATAGGAATATATTTGATTTTTTTTTTTAAGAATTTTTTTTTTCTAAAAAATATTTCTGGGATACACATATCGAAAAAGTCTCTCTGAGATACACACTTTTTTATAATTTTCGCTTATAGATAAATATATTACAGTATATTACAAAAAACATGTGTATCTCAGAGAAAAAGTTAAAAAATATGTGTATCTCAGAAATTTAGTGAAAAAAAGTGTGTATCTCAGAAATATATCTGAAAAAATATATATATCTCAGAAAATATATTTGAGAAATATGTGTATCTCAGAAATTAAATCGAAAAAATTGTGTATCTCAGTAATATTTTTTTTAAAAAAAATTATATTACTATGAATAATAAATATATTCTTAAAAAAAATTAAATATACTCTTAAAAAAAATCGAATATATTCTTAAAAAAGAACAAAATATACTCTTAAAAAAAAACTAAATATATTCGTAAAAAAAAATCGAATATACTCTTTAAAAAAAACTTAATATATTCTTTAAAAAAAAATCGAACATACTCTTAAAAAAAATAAAATATATCTATAAAAAAATATTTTTAAAAAAGCGAATGTACTATTAAAAACTAAATATACTTTAAAAAATAAATATATTATGAATAGAAATATATATATATATATATATTTATTATAACTACGCTATTATTATCTAATTTAATTAAGTTTAGATTCTTAAAACTTAAAATTTATAAAAAATATTTAGTTTAATTAGGATCTATATTCTAGAACTTAAAAATGCGCGATTAATTTTATAGTTTAACTTTAATTAAAATTCTAAAACTTAGAACTAGACGCCTAATATTTAGTTTAATTAGTTAGACGCCTAATATTAGGATATAAATACTAGGACCTTTCTTTATTTTTCTTATTTAAAAAATCGACTATAGGGCTATTTTCAACTGGAACCGAGTTTTTAACTATAGATGAAGCAAGAAAACAGGCCTTATTCTACATCAACCAGCGAGGAGAATCATGGAAAACAAAACGCAGCGATTCAAAAATATCGCACTATATTTGCCGTAATCTAGCAGCAAATGGATGTCCATTCGAGATATATATCTCAAAAAAGAAAGGTATGTTTTTTTTTAAGAAAATATATACTCTTATTTTTTTTATAAGAAAATATACTCCCATTTTGATTTTTTTTAAGAGAATATACTAAAATTTATTAGATCTTTTTGTTGTCAAACGGCTTGTAAATCATACATGCCCTCAATCTACCCACGAAAATTGGAGATATTCGAATTCAACTAAGTTTCTTGCTTCCCATAGCCAGGAATTTATTATAGATAACCCAGCAATTCGCCCAGTACAAATTCGATCAAATGAGCGAATTTTACATAGAAAAAAGATTCCATATCAGGCAGCTTGGAGAGCTAAAGATTCGATTTCTTCGGGTATTTGGGGCGACCAAAAAGAAATTATTCAAAAAATTCAGGTACTACTTATTATTAAAAGTTTATTTTTATTTAAATATACTAACTATTTTTTAGCCTTTTTTGAAAAAACTCGAAGAACTACAAGGAAAAGGAGGAGGCCTTACTGAATTTAAAAGAAATTCAGAAACAAAAGAATTCCAGTAAGTATTTAATATTTACTCAAAAATATATCTCCTTTAAAAAAGCAAAATAGGAGTATATTCTCTTAAAAAAAAGCAAAATAGGAATATATTCTCTTAAAAAAAAGAAATAGGAGTATATTTTCTTAAAAAAGCGAAAATACTAATATATCTAATAAATAGGCATGCATTTGTTTCCCCAGACGCATTTTCAGAGGCAGCTATCTTGAATTTACGCGAGTATATTTCAATTGATGCTGCCCATATGAGAAATCAACCAGAAAACGCGTTTTGCCATTTATTAATGGCAACAACATTGGATTCTAATAATAATATTATTCCAATTTGTTTTGGAATCGCTATAGGTGCTGAAAACAAAGAAAATTGGGTTCAATTCCTTCAATTCCTAGAAAAGTCTCTTAGTTCTGCTAAAAAGCGAATTTTCTCCTACAGAAATCAACCAGTTATACTAAATTCTGGTAGAATTGCTATTATTTCAGATCGAGGAAAAGGACTAGTTCCTGCAGTAGCCGAAATTTGCCCAAATGCGCATCATTATTTTTGCCAGCAGCATATTGCTGAAAATATTACTACTAGTTTTAGTAGTAAAATTGCTATCCTTTTTCGCAATGTATGTTTTTTCTTTTTTTAAAGAAATATACTCAAAAATTCGAGTTTTTTAAGAGTATATATTTTTTTTAAGAAAAATATACTCAAAATCCGAGTTTTTTTAAGAGTATATATATTTTTTTAAGAAAACATACTCAAAAACTCGACTTTTTTTTAAGAGATATACTAATTAAAAAAAGCTTTGCTATAAAACTATCCAACGAGAATTTAATGGAATTCTTTCGCAAATTGCGCAAATCGACCTCTCAGCTGCAGACTATATTCGCGAAATTCCTGCAGATACTTGGTCAAGAATTCAGGCACCAAAGGAGTATCCTAGATTTGGCCAATTTACGTCAAATATCTCAGAATCGGCCAATTCTCTATTCTCTACAGAGAGATCTCTACCTATTCTCCATGCAATAAATCGAATTTGGTTATATTGTATGGAGAAATGGCAAGATCGAATCCATACAGTATTTTCTACAAATTCGAGATTTACTGATTATGCCTGGCAAAAATTCAGTATTGAATTACATGCAGTAAGCCTTGTCTTTTTTTTTTTTTAATTATTTTAATATTTTTTTTAAAGAAAATATACTAATTTATTTAATAGTCTCGACACTGGATTGTCTCTATTTCTAATAGAGAACAGCAATTTGGGCTTGTTTCTCAAGAAAATTCGCAATTTCTTGTAAATATTCTTGAAAAAGAATGTTCCTGTAAAGATTTTACAGAATATAGGCTCCCCTGTCGACATGCTTGCGCTCTAGCTACTACTTTAGGACTAGATCCTGAAGACTTAATCGATTTTGGCTGGAAAATCGATTCCTATAGGGCAATTTATTGCCCTGAAAGATTTCTTTCTCCAGTACTATTTGATTGGCTAGAATCTGACGATACACAGCTAAATAAAAATAGTACTGGAAAGAGAAAGCCAGGGCGACCTCCTACTAAACGCCTACGAAAAGAAACAGTAGATAGTCGCTATAATCGCCTAGCTAAAAGGCAACGCCAGGAAACATTCAATCAGCATGGAATTGATCTTGGAAGATCGAATTTTAGGAGAGCAAGGAGACAAAATTCAAGTTCTTCTAAAATAGCTGAAGAAAATTCAAATTTTTCTGAAAATTCAGAAGAATTTTAAAGTTTCTCTGAAAATTCGGCTGCAGATAATCAGCCTAATTCACCACAAAATTCGGCTGCAGAGAACCAGCCTAACTCCCAAGTTATAACGCTTTCCTAGCTTATATTTGGGTCACAGTCGCAGGAAGAAGAAGACGAGATTGATTTTGTATAGTTCTACTTTTAGGCGTTTAGGTGTTCTATCTAGTAATTTTTTCTTAAAAATATATTTCGTTTTTTTAAAAATTATCATTAGTTTTTTTTAAGAGTATATTTAAGAATTTCTTAGAATTTCTTAAGAGTATATT